TGTGGCGAAATGCTACAAGTTCTTCAAATACGTATAGAATGATAGTTTTCTTTTTTGTGAGTGTAAAACACTTAAATACACCAGTTTGAATGTTAATGTATCTGTTTCTGAAATGTCTACAGGCAAAATTTGAATACCATTGGATAAAACAGATTATAAACTTTTTACAAAACCTGATACAGTCAAGTGGAAAATAATCTAACTAAGCTTATCTCATCTTGTTCCATGAAAAACATATTTTACCTATTGTGCTGCAACATCATAACTCAAATGAGGTATTAGATAATAATTAAAGCAAGCTTATCACAAGCTTTAAAAAAATCAGGACTAACTGTAACAGAAGTTGTTCACAAACATCTTTTCTTTTAGCAACATATCACAAACCTAATCTTTGATCACATTTTTGTGATCTCTGTGTGTCTCTGCTCAAAAGGAAATTATATTAGCATATACAGTTCGAGATAATGGAAAAAGCTTTCATTAAGATTTAAGATCACTAGCCTGTGGCTTCTCAAAACTGAGATATGGTCAATTACATTACACCATGACAACTGAGGTTGAAAAGCAGTGATTGGCTAAAAGCATCCAAAACTACACTTTAATTGGAGTTACAAGGCTGAAATTGCACTGTTTTGTTAAAAACAATTTCCAATTTCTTCCTAGGTGCTATAAGTATCATACTATGATCAGAAAAATTTCAGGAAGTTCACAAGCCCTTTATATATATTTTCATTTGGAGTGAGCTGAAATAATCCCAAATCAAAGTAATGTGGTAACAGTGACAATATTGGGTTTCTTAAGTTATACTTTTGACAGTTTTAAGTACCTTCAGCTAGATTTTTATAGGACTTGTTATAGATTGAGTACCTAGGCTTTTATAAGAATTGTGACTGAGATGATTGTTTGAAGTTAGACTTGAGTCAGTATTGAATATTTTACAGTAAAATAGTATAAGATTGTTGTACTGTTATATATTTAATCTGTGTTGCAGGGTCTAAAAATGATTTGGGATGATTCACCTTTTTCCATGCCAGGCTAAAAAAAAATAGGATAATCTGTAAATTTATGTTACTTTAAAAGATAGATACCATGATAATTTTCCTTGCAAAGGCAAAAGCCCGAGTTATTTTATCACATCTAAGCTTTAATGATTTTTTTAATATATACAGAAACTTAACTAGTGAGTATTACATGAATATATATTGGTAGATAGTACTGTAGTAATTATGAATTACATGCACTTACGTTGATTCTTGTTGAAACAAAGAAATAATATTTGAATTCAGAATAAGTTGTTGTTTTCTCTGTTCACAAACTGTTTTGTTGATGAGTGCTTTCTTGAAAATTTTGCACACTAATCTCTTTGCACTAAATTTTTAAGGTGTTCTTTTATAAATTATTTTAAAGTTTATAAAGCTAGAGAACTTCCTTTTGTAAAAAAAAAAAATAGTAATAATAACAATAATGATAATGCTATTGCAAAAAATAAATCTTTTTTTTCCATAATTATTATTTATTTAAGAAATTTTCATTTCAGGAGTGGTAGAAAGTGGGCCCATGTTAGTTGTGCCCTCTGGATACCTGAAGTTAGTATTGGAAACGTTGATAAAATGGAGCCAATTACCAAAATATCAGAGATTTCAGTAAGTCTTACTCTGTGCTTTTGTTTGAGTAATTTTTTTGTATGTACTTCTGCCCTTTTTTAGACCATTTTACATAAATCAGAACAGTTATTCTTGAGAATATAAGTAGTATTGCTTAATTAATGATGAAAAGCAAAAATGAAGAAATTTTATAATATGAAGTCAATTAGTTTTAGTTGACTTCAGTGTTAAAGTTTTAAGTAATTCTCTGTCCTACTGAAATAATTTACTGGTTAAGAATGGGAATCAGCCAGCATAATTTTTCTTCAGTGTAAATTGCTTAAAGTCTGTAATTTGTGACAAAATTTCACATTTATATTAAAAACGAGAAAGATTGTAATAAAATATTTACTTCAATTCTAAGTAATTTTTTATCAAACCTTATTGTAAGTGAAAAGAAATGTCAGGATTGGTAACACAAGTATTAGTGTGCATGATTGAGCTTGCATATTGCATGTCCAAAGCATAAGAATATATCTTACATTTTGTTGGCATTATAATGAAGTACTGTAGTCTGTAAGTAAGTAAATTTTCATATAGAGTTTAAGTATTTCCAGTATTAATGATTGTTATGAAATACTGAGTACATATGTATTAGTACGTGTAAAGGCTGCTGAGTTTAGCATTGAAGTTATTCCAATTCATTATGAAGTAGGGTGTATGAGTAATGGCACAAGTTAATTTTAAGCTTTCTCTGCAAAGGTATTGATGATTCAATAATTTGAAAATGTCAGGAATGATCTAATCATTTCTAAAAACAGCAAAGTTTTTCCTGATGAAATTCGGTTACTTAAATGAAACAAATGGACTATATAATACTGTATTATGTAAGTCTATATGTATTAAGGAATGTTAGTTTGAACACATCTTACCACATGTACAGTATTATATGTACTAAATACTTCACACTGTTCTATATATAATTGAGCTTACTTTATCATTTTTACTAGCTTAATCATGATTGAAAAGAATCTATGATTTGTAAATTTACCCTTCGTCGTTACAAACTTGCTAATACATTTTAAGCATACTATACTATTAATTATGTTTACACTTGCATTTAGCTGTAGATGTTTATATACCATATTTTTTAGCTTTGAATTTATTATTAATAAATTGAACACCTATTTAGCTTAATTTTTAAAACTTTTCAATTTCAAATATTTCTTTAAAACATTTTATTTAGCATTTTCCTTTGAAAATTTACCAGTAAATAATGAAATTCTGAAAACTGCATTTGAATTTCTAGATTTAATTATCAATTTTGCAAATATCAACAAAATTTATAAGTGTAAGACAATTTTAAAGCATAACTGAACAATAAGTACATTCTATTAAGGTGTTTGTAGTGAGAAAAAAGGGTAATACCATTTACCACTTTACATTTTATGTGTTACTTTCTTAGTAAGATAAGCATATTGATAGAGCTTGTAGTGAGTTTTAATTAATGACATACTTTATTGAACAGTCAGTTTAATTTTGTTTCATTAATAGATTGAAATTGAATCATTGCTTGGTTATTGTTAGCTAACTTGTGATCTAACTGCAATCACAGATTGACTCGCAGATGTGAAATTTAATTATTACCTAAGATTCTAATTGTTTTTCATTTCATTAATCATAGATTTTAACTTCAATAATTTTAAAAGAACAAGAACATCTTAGAATTTTTGTAGGATGCGTTGGTCTGATTCTTGGATGAAAAATTGTAAGGATTACTCATTAATTATCTCAGTATGGTTAAGCATCATTTATTAAATAATAAACCACCAGAAAACAGAAAAAATCATAAAACAAATCATGCTGAAAAAGTCTTTAATAAAGTACGTAAAAAAGTGATGTATTGATGACAAATTGAGTGTGATTTATAAATCAATGATTCTTTTATTATTTAGCCTAGTAGATGGTCTCTTTTGTGTTCCCTTTGCCGAGAAAGAGTTGGAGCTTGCATACAGTGCTCAGTGAGTAAAGAAAATGTGTTGTTTAGATTTGAGAAATTGTAAATTTCATATAAGAGTATATTTTGATATTTTTCATCATATTGATGAATCTATGGTGCACTCCAATTATTTCTTTGATTTTAGTTTTAAATTTAGAAATTGATTTTTTTAATGTTTTCCATAAAAGTATCAGACAGACGGTAGCACTATCTATGTAGGGATAGCTTGGATTGTTCATCAAGATAGTATTTTAAATATTTCCTCAATAGGTTATCAGAACTTTACAATACCATACAGTGTTTCCTTTTATAACAATATCTATGTAATGACTGAGTCATAAGTTCTGATAATGTTTGTAAGTATCATAACAAAAAGTTTGAATTTCTTGTTTTTCTTTCTTCTGCTTCTTTTTTATTATTATAGATAACTCAAAAACCAAAAGAATAGTGTCATCCAATTTTACTGAGGTGACATAGTTTCAAATGGAGTATCAACTTTCATAATACTATTAATAATTAGTAGTAATTAAGAAAAAGGGTCATAATTCTAGTGTCAATGATATTATCATTATCCCTTGAAATTAGCTTTCTTACAGAAAATTATTATTCCTTTAAAAAGCTTAAGTACAGGGTGAAACAGAAATTACTAGCCAATAATAGATAAACAATAAATATCAGAGTCGGTACCTCATTGTATTTAACTTGATTATAAATCCAACCTTCCTATGTCTTTTGAAACACTGCATTAAAAAAATCAAGTAGAAAAAAAAAAACTTTTCAAAAAGGAATTAAATGTAGGTATGGCTAATATCAGTCCTTCAAAAACAATGCAAACATGATAGTAGGGTTCACATTTGCATCATCCCTACATATTGACTGAAAACAAGCTTTTGTACCCTTATGGCAAGTGTGACAAAATAATTGTGAATTTTGCTGCAATGAAACAAAATAAAAATAAAAACTGAATGCCATTTATTACATGGATTTCATACAAAACACTAGATGCCTTGTTACAAAATGTTACATTTATATAATATATACATGTGATAAGTGAATAAAACTATTATTAAACACTCAGAATAACAGTAGAGTGAACATCTCAACCATACAACCCCAAGCTTGAATAACTGCAGTAGCAGTATACTCCACATGATGTACATACCGCCACAAAATAAATAAAAAAGGACATCATTTGCATATACAAGTTTATAAAATTCATTTAGTTCTCTTCATCTGGAGTACCTTGTAGATTTATTTTAGTATGCTCATTGGCACAGTCTGATCCACCTTTGCAATTGCAGAATATTGTATGTATGCCGAATAGCATGAACATCTTGACAATATGCACCTTGCACAAGAACACATTACAAACTTGTGTATACATTCTGTAGTGGGTAGTATGCCAGGTGGAAACATTACAGGATGTCGTGTCTTATTAACTGGATCCTTTGACCGTTTGAATAATGTAGGGTCAATAGGTGGCAGACTGGCTTCTAATGCATGTTTCCTTTTACATCCTTGCAAATGTGCTCTCATTACGTTCATGTGGGATGTTTCATCAGTGGGAGCCAAGGACATGAGCTGAATCTTTTGATGTTGGCTCTTGAGCTGTTTTTCTACTTGAACATGCAAGTTGTACTGACTTTGGTGCCATAAATTTGGTTTTACAATCATAGTGATATATAGCATGTGCTACATGTAACTCACTGACTGATCCTTGTATTTCACTGACACTTCATGTGCCCACTGATCCCCACATGCATCCAGTATGACTTCATTAAATGGTTTATGGTGTCTGTTATAGTACACACAGCTACTCAGTTTTGACGATCTGGGTGCTTCTTATCGATTTTAAAAGACATGAATCTTCACTAAACAAACTATGTGCTTTAGAGTCAAAACTTCGAATATCAAAACGACAGTGTTGTTTTTACTTACGATTTGTTTGACAGGTCAAGTGTTCATTTTTCCTAGTTTCCTAAGGTGTGATTTTGAAGTATATGATGGTACACAGTTTTTGTGACAGTGCACAGTGTAATTAGGGTCATCACAAAAGTTTCTGTCTATATCAGAATGCAAATTATCATCTCTAAGTATGCTTGCTTCAATGAACTTTGTGATTGGTTGGCTTGGGTTAGAGCAGGCACTGACTTTATCAAATACATACTCATTCATGATGTTTGTGTTCTGAAAATACATTAAACATCAAGTTAACATACGTGTCCTGCACTCTACTAAATAGAAGTTGTCCAACTTGTTAGAACAAAAAGGATATTCATTATTTTATTTGTTAATTTTTCAAGACAAAATAAAAAGAAACATGTAAGTTTAATTTATAAGTTAACCATATAATAACGATCTACTTATATAACTCTTGTGATCTTTATAAAAGTTAAACTAGTGAAATTGTTCGAAATTTGACATGAAAGATCCTAAAAGTATGTAGTTTCATTTCAGGAAAATATAATTTTTAATTTTGATTTTTTCTACTATTTCAACTAAAACATTCATTATTTAATGTAGTTATTTTCACTTCGACTTTGAATAGTTCACATGCAAGGAGATTTTCATTTTGAGTATAAAAACACTATTTATTATCTTACAGTTTCACATTTTGTTTGCATAATCTCCTGAATTAATATTAAAAGTTCTTTAAGGTAAATATTTATTATTTATTTTTTTCTACTATATCACTAACTCTAGTTATTATTATCAATGTACAGTGCAATGAAATGTTTAAAATTAAGAAATGGAAGTATATACATACCTTTTAGCTCTTTGTAGAAGTCTTTTGAAACATTTTTTTAATATGTGTAATTTCATGTCTTTATAGTTTCAGTTACAGTTTATTTTCATTTTTTCTTTCCAATTCTTTGTGTTTTATTATTTATGCCAGTATATTAACTGGTCACCCCATGCAGACTCTTTCACTAACACTAACAAACGTGAATGATGCCATCATGTTTAGACACTTTCAAAATCCAAGCTAAATGTATAAAAATCATTAAACCTTTCAAATATCCATTTTAAAACATGAGTAATATATAATTTATTAACATATAAGCATAAAATGTAAATGCAGTTGTAACTGTGTAGCAAACTAATAGATGAATAAGATGAGAAACACTTTCCAAACGCTAGGTACCCCCCGAGAGAGCAGTGGACTAAGCTTTTTTTTCTATCTCTTAGTACAACTCCATACACTGGTAATGTTTCTTAGGCTATTAAGTAAATAGCAGAAAATCTGCTCTTTCTATTAGCTATAAGCATGCTATTCAACTTCGAACTGTCACTTAGCAACACAGCTTCGACTTTGCAAGCGGGCGTGGCTGACCTTAAACTTAGAAAAAAATTTACCATATTTCATGTGGGAAGAAATTCTTTGAAAGTTTCCAGAAAGTGATAAAATACATCTGTTTAGTGTACTTTGATTGAACTAACAATCTATATTCATTGCTCACAGTTTCTTGTATAAGAACTCTTAACATGAACAGATAACATGACAGCAAAAACTGCATTTTTAGATGTTTCTTCTTAAAATATATAAATATAGGAATTAAACTTAGATAATATAAACTTTAAATTATAATGTACTTGATAATTATAATTTTATTAAACTACATTTATAGTAAAGTGCTGTATTCAAATTTTGAATGTAACTCGGTAACATGCACAGAAGGGGGTTAACGGTGTTTAAAAATGTCGTTGTTGCTATAGTTAAGAAAATTATAGTAAATACAAGTTGGTCAAGCACTGATAATACTTGTTCTTTATATAGTCTTAGCTGATTAGTTACTGTTTATTTCTGTTTATATTTTACTGCATATTTTATCAGACTTGCCATAAGAGTATAAAACATGTCTCCAATCAATAAAACAGTGCCACCAGTACATTTGTTGTGCCCAAAAACCTAGAACTGGACAGTTTGTTCAACATTTTATCACTTGTTGTTGCTGAGATATGATCTTTTGTATCTCTACATTTGCATTTGAAATGAGGGAGAATGGTTACCATGGAAACCAGTCGTTTCATACATACATATATATATAAAAATCCCCAAGAGCACCAGCTTGGTATACTACATTTTCTGATTGTATATGGTCTGAAGATACAAAATCAGCAAAAAACCATTGTGGGATCTCCAGCTCAAGGTTAGGTAAAAAAAAAAACTACTTTGGTTGCTAGACTATAATACTGGGTTTTAATTACAAAGAGAGAGTTAGTGTTTCTCTGTGTGTGTGTTACTCACCATATCATTAATCAAATTCTCGTTAACCATGTATCACTTTGTAACATTGAATTTTTCATTAAGTGATGACGTAAGTAAAGAACTTGATATTGAACTTTTAATGGTAATTGAATTGAATTCCTGTATTGTAGTTCAATGTTACTACAATAAATATTGATACCCAAATAATTGCGTGCAAATTAATATCATTATGAAATCTGCATTTGGGTGCAAATATAATTTGCTTGAAAATATTTTAAAATAAAATCTTGAGTAATTGATGTATGAAAAGTTTATTAAACCTAAATATTGTCACTAAACCTGACAATTTCTGCTGATAACATTATTTTACTTACATGTATGTTGGTTCATGTAGTACATGAATGCAAGTTTGAAAGTTTGCTGTATATTTTCATTTTCATATAATAAGATTATAATCTTTGGTTTATTAACAAAAAATTAAAAAAAATTACATAAATACAATATGTACTGTTGACTGATTTTTTAAAAATAATATTTCATACAATTTAATTTTATCTGTATATTCAGAGAACTAGTTTTAGCTATCTATAACTCTATACATGAGCTAAAATGGTAGTTCAATTTTCCTTTCAGACTTCCATAGGCAGGTAGGTAATATCATTAGATTTTTCTTTTACAATTTTTGTACCTTTTTTTTATTTCTAGGTGAAAACATGCAAGACTGCCTACCATGTCACTTGTGCCTTCGAAAAATAACCTTGATATGAAAGCAATCATGGAGGATGAAAAAGATGATGATGGCGTGAAGTTAAGAGTTAGTTGTTTTTCTGTTGTTTTTTTTATGTACATTTTGAATCAACATGTTATACTTTGTAATGCTTATTGTAATTTATGTCTTCATATATTCGATGATATAGAAGTGTCACGCATACTAATTTGTGAAAGTCTGGCCTAAAACAATTTAATTTGTTCTTTGGATTTCTTTCAGAGCTTTAATAATATGTAATACTACATTTATTAGGAGGTTTCTTGTTAGTAATTTATTTGTGTTCTGATGCTCATGCTATTTTCCATTAAAGTTCTGTTTTTCTTTCCCACAATTAACCAGTTTACAGAATCTATGAATATGAAATTTTAAGTTGAGTGAGGCAAGTGTCAGAAATGTATGAAAAGGTAATTATGACCAACTTGGATTTGGCAAAGAAAAACAATTTGCTTTGTACCGCTGTCATATTAAAATCAGTAGTGATGACTAGAAATGCTTTGTTATATAAATAAACTCATACCATTGCCTGTCATAACTGGTGTGAAATTCTTAAAAGTCTCCACCTAATGGATGGAAACATTCACACCCTAAATTTACTATTACCTACTAACCCACTTTTCAGAACCTCCATCTCTAAGTATAATTTCTCTTTGTACTTGGATCACTAGTGACCATCAAATGAATTTTGATTTTAACTATCAATTTACAATAGAAGAACCAAAACATTATATTTTTACTGGGTTCTAACGTGGTTTCATGGTTAGGGCACTCGACTTGCAATCTGTGGGCCACAGGATTTAAACATATTGCTCATCATGCTAACCCTTTTAGCTGTGGGAGTTTTATGATGTGACAACCAATCCAACTGTTTGTTGGTATAGAGTATCCCAGAATTTGCAGTTGTTGTTGTTGACTGTTTCTCTTCTCTCTAATCTATCAATTCCAAATTAGGGACAGCTAGCGCAGATAGCCCTCAAGTTAGCTTTGCTTGAAATTCAGTATACAAACAATCTATTTTCTCTCTTTTTTTTTTTTCATGGATTTTGTTAAGAACTTGAAAATTGAAAACATTTTGTACAAACAAATTCTTTTTCCAATTTTACTTATCAGTCATATTATCAAGAACAGTGCAAATAGACTACACATAATGTTAAAGTTTGTGTCTAAAGTATCCCAGATTTCATTTTATCATATTTTAGTCATTAGTCTTCAGTTGAAAAGAGAACCTAAGCAGGTTTAAATATAGCTTTAAATGGTAGGTTATGATTTTACCTGTAGACTTTGTTTTCAGTTAAAACTTTGACTTGGCTGGTGACCCAAGCTCACCACATTGTACTTCCATTTAAAAAAAAACAATTATTAAAGTACTGCTTGGCCAAAAATGATTTTCAAAAAATGTGAACATGGAGTTAATTTTACAACATTCAGGTAAAAATAGCTATTGTAGCTTTAATTAACTTTCTTGAATAAAGCTGTTATATTATCATTTTATTATTAAATAAATTTCTTTATATTACATTAGAACCCTCAAGTATCAAGATGTCCATATTGGCACTTGTAAAAGATAAAGTTGAGGATGGTATCTTTTGGAAAGGCTGTATGTTAAACATATAATTATCATACATTTTTCTACTACCCTGACTCTGAAACATAGCCTTAAATTTCTTGTCCAGAGATGCTTGAAAATGATGTATGTTTGCTTAGATTATTATTAAATTATTCATTTTTCATTCAGAAAATTGTCACATCACATTAATTTTCATCTCTTTCTTTATCATGTTGTACTATATTACTGGAACAGTAGATTAACTCATAACAAGACAAAGTAAGTTAATAACATACCAATCATGAACTAAACACAGCTGTTCAGTAATTTATTAATGCATTTTACACAACAGTTAAATGATAGAAATGTATACGTTTTGGTGAGGAAAGTGCTGTCTGTGTCAGAAACAGGTGTTCCATGGAACAATTTAACATTATTAAAACAATTTCAGTAATAGAATGACTTATATTAAAATAACTCTTTGGTTCTGTCTTTGCATCTTTTCAGTCTTACTGTCAAAAACACAGTCAAAAGAAAGAGGCAAATCATTCTTCTGATTCAGAAGTTGAAAAGGAAAGTCCAAGAAAAAAAAAAATGAGAAAAATCAGAAGCCCAAGAAAGAGTATGAAATGTCTAGTGAGGATCGAGCAAATGCAAGGGAGAAAAAGTAATGCTACATTTACATTGTATTAAATTTTCAAAGAAACTTTGATAAATGGTACTTAGAACTTTCTCTAGATAAGGGTTTACATAGGAGTGGCAAGTTTTGGGGTATAGTTTTTAGTATTCCTGGTCTTAAAAATCTTCTAAAATCTAAAATTGTATGTCTGTTGTCAAGTTATAGAAAGTTTTTGGAAAATGGTGGTTTCAAGTAATTTATTTCATTTAGCTTGGGACCATCATAATATGAAGTAGTTCATTATTATCTGCTGATAAATAATCAATGATATTGCAATTAATTTGAAACAGATCTTGGAAAAAAAATATAAAACTGGACATAATAAAACATTTGTATTTTATTGATGTATGGACTGAGTGAATCCTATAAAGATGTGTTACAATACTTTCTCATATTTACTGCGACTTTCTTTCTCAGGTTCATTTTTTAATCTTCATTAACCAGAGCAAAGAGAACTGAGTAGATCTGCAGTATAGCTCCTGAATATTGTGAATTTCAGACTTGAGCATGCTGTATATTTTTTGTGTATTCAGAGATTTTGAATTTCTTGTAAATATATTTGATTACTGTTGAAACTAACATAGTTGTTTAGTGTATATTCTTTTAGTTTTCTATGATAAATGCAGTTTGAGAAATTAAGAATGTGTATAGTATTTTCTCACGTATTAAAAATATAAACTAATACTTAACATTGGGAAGAACATGGAAACATTTATAAAGTTTTTTGTAGTATTGTGGTAATTTTTTTTCTGTTTGAATGGTTTTTGCAATAGGATTGTACAGATGTCATCAGAGTTTTACAACTATGTAAATACAAAGGAGACAGCAGATTTGTTACAGGTAGACCCAACTGTTGTGGATTTCGTCTATCAGTATTGGAAACTGAAGAGAAAGGTAACTGTTTTATAATAATTTAACCCTCTCGCCCCGGGTATTCTTTACTGCTCATGACACAAGGTTTTAGTGTCTTACATTCAAAATTTTATTAAACTACTTTTTGTTTGTGTTATACCAATAAATATAGCATAAAATCTTAGCTAATAACCTTTATTTTAATAGTACATAAGTAAATTACTCACTATAAAATCATCATTGCTTAGACAAACCATAATTTTTATAGCCTTCAATTTTGTTTTGTTACAGAGCTATCAAATATAAAATCAGACCTCCTGCCTCACCCACCTGTCACATCCTCTCTTTCAGGATTTGTTAATAGTTCTCTCATACATTTAATTTTATATTACCTATAACTGATAGAAAGTCAAGGTTTTCATCTATCAAATGACGTATTGTATAACATTGTGTTCTGAACACAGAATAGTCAATTTCACTTCTAATTCAACTTTAGTTCCCACGGGAATCACAATGGCTAGCTTGGATGTATTTGTAATGGCTCTTGTCGCATAGTTAGAAAGCCAGAAAAATTGTGTTTGTTAGAGGAAATTGTCTGCTTTATCAAGTTATTATTCTATGTTCTTTGGTGTATTATTTAATTAAATAAAAATTTAATGCACTACTACCATTAGTTTAATAAAAACTGTCATCGATAGTCGAGAGCAAAGAAAGAGAATTATGTTTATTCTTTATTTATTATTATTATAAAAGTAACTAAAATGAAGAAATAAATATCTCTTTAGGTTAGTTAAGGTTATATTAGGTAAAATAAACAATAATAATATAATAAAAATGTTTCACGAGTAGCTCTCATGAGTAATGTAATTCGATAGCGTAACATGAACTGCACATTCCCCAAGTGATTTACAACTTATGATGGCGTGAATAGTAGTCAGACATGGTTCAAAGGGCAATCAAAAGAACAATAAAATATAATTACAAATAGATATATGCTATTACAAGCTTAAAGCTTCTTAGGATAGATGAATGTAGTTTCATGCCACATTTGAAGTCATTCTAGAAAGAAAAGGAGGATAATTTAGATATTTTTTTTTGGGGGGGGGGGGTTACAAGTTTAGTGAAATTGGCCAACCTTGTATTGAGTTATGGTAAAGAAAATATCAGATAGAATATAAAGTTTTACTGCAAACAAACATTTGAAATGTATTTAGGAGGTTTTAGAGATTACACAAATGAAATTTGGGATTTTTGAGATGAAGAAAAGTATTTGTAATCTTAACATGAAAATCACTTTGCACATGGATTATTCAAAACAAATACTCAATATATTCATGGACAAATCTTTATTTCAGTTTATTAGAAATACTTCACTAAAAAATGATTTTTTTTATGTGAAAGACTTATAATGTTAACTGAAAGACTGCCAAATTTTGTGAAGATATACACACACAATATTGAAAGTTAGAAGTATTAACTCTATAAAGACTTTAAACGAGTACAAAGAGGTCACATGGTCGGCCAAATTGACTGAGCCCTGTTTGTAGATTTGTAATGCCTTTAACACTTTTAGGCAAAAATGCACCTATGTTTGAAAATTGGCCATTCAGATTCACAAAATATAATGATATGGTATTGATACAAAGACATATGTTAGAAAAATAATGAACAGTGCATATGAAAAAAGATTTCGAATTTTCTCTGCATTGGTTATTTGTACGAGTAATAACTGGAGTCGGAGAACCTGTGCTATGAAGGTTTATATTTTCCTGTTATGAAATAAGAAAGCAAAAGAGTGACAGTCTTTACTGTATTAATTATTTTAAATTTTAAACAGAAACTACTAATAGAAGTTTAGTAAACATCAAAAGTAATAATGATTGTCACAAAATATTGCTGTAACAACTTGGTTTTTGTTTTCAGGCTCAATTTGACAAACCTTTACTTACCCCAAAAGAAGAAGAAACTGACATACTAGGAAGGCAGCAAGAAGACAGCTTATACACTCGCATGAAAATGTTTGTACATTTACGACAAGACTTGGAAAGGGTAGGTGTTTTTTTTAAAACTATGAAAGTAGTTTCTCAAATGTTATGTAGCTGTATGTCTAATGTATTGGTATATTGACATCATTTTATATTATGTTAATTTGTTGCTTTGTTATGTTAAAAATGTAATAAGTTTTTGAATTTTAAAATATGATACTTTTCAGTTTGAAGTAGATATTAATGCTGACATATGTCATGTTTTGTTGTAGGTTACACTTGTTAAATGTATAAATTTTTGTTTTTAGCATTTGTGGTTTCTGTGGATAATATATATCACATACTAGTGAAATGTGGCACACAACACAAATATACATGAGATTTATTCAGCATTTAATCATATGTTTGTAAATTATACACTTTATACATTTAAACTGTATTTTATATCATGTTTTACAAATTAGGTTTAATTTTGTCTTTTAGTAATACATGTATTGTTTTATCACTTATCATGGAAAATATCTCAAAATTATTGTTGTGCCAAGAAAATACATTTACACATGCACACCAAAAAACTGAATGTTGTGTTTTTGTTTATTTAATTTACTTATATTTTTAACATTCTTGAAATGTTTGAATGTGAAAGAACGTGTGAAAATACTCCTTGCTACTTAGTTTGTGTCAAATGTTTCTAAACCATTTAGACTTGACAATATGGAGTGTGTTTGTATGACAGATATTGTCAACTCTTCTTGTAATCTTTTATTATGTTGAATCAAATTGTATTCTTTGGTGTGATGTTTGCAATGATGAATATCAACTTCTAATGTAACAAACTACCTACAACGACAAAATGTACCCAGTAATGAACATAGTGAATTAAATATATCATTCAAAACTATCTTACTTATAGTGATTAAAATACTTTCTTTTGTCAGTTGGGTATCATCACTATTGAAATTATTTTAGCCTCATGTTCTGTCTTGTAATGGAGACCAAAAAATTAGACAACTTAATATTATTCCAAAGATGTTTGCATCCAAGCCATTTGAATAATTGTTTTTCATTTGGATGAAATAAATTGATTCATGTTTACATGTTTTGTATAATTTATGTACTGTTATTTTTATTTCACAGGTAAGAAACTTGTGTTATATGGTGAGCAGGAGGGAGAAGCTTTTCCGTTCTTGGTTGAAACTAAGAGAGGAAATATTCCAGACTCAGGCCAGAACTTTAGCCAACAAATCTCTCAAACTTACAAGCCAAGATATTGGAGCTGTGATGATAGCCAATAAAGGATCTTCTGTGTATGACAAAATGTATTCCATGGACAAAGAACCTGTACCCTGCACTTTGGCTGTGCTAGCAAGGCTCAAACCTGAAGAGTATACTTACATTGAAAAACCCGTAAAGAAGAAAAAGCTAAGACCTTCTACTCAGAGGCTTCCTAATCCTTATGCCAAACAGTACATCAATGGTACTTATGCTCGTTCAAAACGGAGGTTGTCTGCTGTAGTGTGTAGGAATAAAGGTCTTGAAAAATCATCTGAGCCTGTTTTTTGTGACTCTAAGAATCAAGATGATATAAAAATGGAATTAATTGATAGATATCAACCAGTTCATTCAAGAGAACTGTCAGAAACTGTGGATGTCAAGGTGATATCTACAGATACAAGTATATCTACCAATAACTCTCTATCAATGTCTTTGTCTTCAGTGGGTATTGAAGGTTCAGATGAGAAAGCCTCAACTTTAGAAATTTCTAAAAATGAGTTGGATGGTGATTTGGGAGAAAATTATAGTAAAATGGAATATGGTGGTGAGGCTGAGGTGAAAAAACATAAAGAAATAGTTAGTGAGTCTGTGGAAAAGGTTATAAACTGGGAATCAAACAGTGAGCCAATTATGGAATATAATGAAAAAGAGTTAGTTGATGAGGACAAGGTGCAAGCTTGTAAAATGGAAATTGTTGAGGAAACCAAAGTTAAACTTAGTGAACAGGAGTTGACTATTGAAACTGAGGTAGAAGCTAATAAAAATGATTTAGCTAATGAGGTAGAGATGAAAGTTAATGAACAAGAATTGGTTAGCGAAGCAGAGGTGGAAGCTAGTAAAACAGAACTGGATATTGAGGATGAGGTGAACGTTAGTAGAGAAAAATTTATTGGTGAAATCGAAGTAAAAGATAGTGATAAAGAATTGGTTGCTGATGCTAGGGTGAAAGTTAATAAAAAGGAATTAGGTAGTGAAGATGAGGTGGAAGTTATAAATAAAGAATCATGTGACGAAATTGACATAAAGGTTTCTGTCAACAACTCGGTTACTATGCCCGAGGAAAAGATTTCTACAAAAGAATCAAGTTGTGATTCAATAGTAAAGACTCCTGTGGAAGAATTGGGAGGTGGAGATATAGAACCTTGCCTAAAAGAAGTTGAAAGTGAGACTTCTTTACTGGATATAAGTGAAAATACAAGAGAACCAGAGAAGGGCTTACCAATTAACAAATCTTCATCAGAATCAAACACTTTAAAATTGAATCTTGTAGAAAAATTAACTGACCTCTTACCTGTGATAGAAGATTCTAGAAGTAATAACGAAAATGTGATAGATATTAAAAACACTTATTCCTTAGAACTTTTAAAAGAAGTTGATGTAACACTTGAAAGAACTGATCAGCTTTCAAAATTATCAACTCCAAAATTGAAAGTTCCAGAAAAATCACCCCTAGCTGCCACAAACTTGCAAAAATCGTCATCTTTACTAAAAACTCCAAAAAAAGAAGACAGATCACTTTTAAGAACACGATCCAGTTTAGATCATTCACCAGATAAAGATAGGCTGAGAGAAGAAAGTGCAAAAATATGTGAGTCCATATTTGCAACCACTGCTACTTCAAGGGGATCATTAAGCGGGTACCGAATACCCAAGAAAGTCAAATCAGAAAATAATATTTTGGAAAACACAAGAGGAAATTCGCCTGTTTCACCTCTTTCTGAAGTTTCCTCCCCAAAGAAAGATACTTTCTCAACAGGCGATAATTATCAAAAGTTCCGAACATCTAGAAACTGGAGTAATAGTAGGGACTTAATTAGTCACTCTACACTACTAAATGGTGAAAACCAAGGTCAGTCTAAGAGGCTAGTCATCAAACTACGGAAAGATCCAAACTTTCCTGATTCTCCTAGGTGGAAGAGAGACCCCACTTTTGGGGAAGGCACCGATGCTTTTAAAGTTGTACAAAATGACTGGCAGTCACCGCCCAAAAGAACAGATCGCCACTTACGCTCTGACAGAAGATCTGTACTGTCTAATCCAACATGGTTGGCTAAAGAAGACTGTGGTAGTAAAGAAAATGGTGCAAATAGTAGATATTCAATGAGATTTAGAACTACTCAAAACATGTCTAAACCGGATACAGGGGTTAGCTAGCACATGTTGTTCTCGTATACTAACTAAAAGTTAACATAAACTTTTCCAAGCACAAACTTCTATAAATACTGGTAGCGATAAATTTCTTCCCCTTTATATTACATTTGTAAATTTATACATTGTTTGTAAAACATCTGTAAATATATTTTAAACGTCATCCTATTCATTTCAAATGTAAAAAGTTTGTATGAGTTTTGTATATCCAAAAAATGTAGGTAACTGCTTAGTTGTTAAGAATTTCTCTGTTATAATGTGTATACTTTTTGCCTTATGTGACACTTAGTGTTAAATTATAATGTAAAATCAAGTGCACTGGATACCTTAGGGCCTGTATAGAAGTTGTTGGTTTGAACAGTTATAATTACCGTTTTTTTCGAAATATAAGACGCACCCTTATTTTGAAGACAAAGTTTTGGGGGGAAAAAAGCTACAG